AAAAATCAGAACAAAATCCTAACACGTAAAACATGTTACTAACTATTATTACCCATATACTCTTCGATTATTACTTGGTCTAGAGGGAATATTTGGTGTTGCCATTGGCCTAGCAATTGCAAGTTTTAATGTTTTATTGTAATAGTATAACTATATCAGAAAATAGTTTCACAACATAATTTGCAATTTCTTCTGTCTCATATTTAACGAAAGCAAAACCTTTATGCTTATTAGTTTCTATGTCACGAGGAATATATATATAAGTCGATAACAAATCATGCTTGAATTAAAATATCATATAATACGCGATCGCTTACTCCTTCATGCAAATTTCCAACGTAAACGCTAAAATTAGTCATGTTGGGATTGAAAAACTAATTTGAGAATTAGAATAAAATCTTAGTACAAATGGAAAAAATAATTTAATCAATATAGCGTCGTTCTTTCTGAATGATCTTTATAATTCTTCAAAGCTTAACATCTCTATTTATAATAGTGTAAAACTTGTTAAACTTAATTTGACTAGAGATTGGAAAAGTATAACCCTATTTAAATATGAATTAATAAATAAATTAACAAATATCAAATCCTAAACAATTTTGGTTACTATATATATTTGTATAGGCTAATTTTGTATGTTTTTAATTTCATCATCGACTTCTAGATGGTTTAGTAATTTGTTGATATACTTAATTATTCAGACTTTGCTTAAAGTAACTTTCGATATGTCTCATGAGTAATATTCTAGAATATTATGATTTTAATATTATTAATAAGTTTTTTCAATTTTCTACAAAAATTAATAAATGATAAAATGCCCTATCAACATAAAGGAAAAAAAAGACCAAAATCCTTCTCTTTTTTGCATTGCCCTAATGAAAACGGGAGAAGAAAAAAAGTGATGTTTATATATATATATTGTCAATCGTTTAAAAAGTCTTAGATTTAACTCAAACTCAAAAGCAAATGCATGAGATTGTCTAAGTTCAGGTAAGAAAGTCCAGGACGCCTTTCATCGTGATATAAGATTCTTTTCCATTCATCATCCTCTCTCTCGTCACATCCGACTATCCAATCTCACGATGTGCATGCCCAGACACTGTTTGATCGTTGCAGAGTGTGGACAATCTATCTAGAACTACATCGGGAGCCGAGATGCCCTAACTTTGATACCATATTAAACGAATATTGGATACTAGCTAGTTATATAATAAGTTATTTGTTTTTTTTTTTTTAGAAATAAAAATGGTAATTTCAGGATATGGACAATTTATCTAAAACCCACCTCGAAAGGCCTTAACATTGATACCATATTAAACGAACCTTGATTACAAGATAAGTTTTTTTTTTTTATGAAATAAAAAAGGTTGTTGTAGGGCATGGACAATTTATTTGGAACCCACATTTGGAAATTGGAGGCCCTAACTTTAATACCATATTAAACGAATCATGAATACTAGTTAATTATAACAAGTTTTTTTTTTAAGAAATAAAAAATACACTGATGTTATTTTGTTACATCAATTTAATCTAATTTTTTAAAAAAAAAAGAAAAGCGAAGTGATAATTGAGACCCTTTTAAAAAGCCAGGTATTATCCGACAAATTCCATTTTTATAGTGATAAATTTAATTTAAAGTAATACAGATTATGCTTTTGGCGCAATTAAACTTTTATTTTAAAGTTCAGAAAAAGAGAAAAAAAAATAACAAGAAAAAAAAAGGGAAAAGAAAAACAGCACATCTTAAAGTTAAGAGATTCTTCTTTAGAAAATTTTAATAACTTTTTTGTTTCGAAACTCTAATTTTTAATCAAATTAAATCAATTTGGATTATTTTAAATTAGATATTTTTGGGGAATAACACGTTGCAAATATTCTACTACTAACTTTTTACATAATGCTTTTTAGAGATAAGAATGTTGGGTTTACGAAGATCAAAGTAAGTAAAATTAAAGTGATTCTTTTTTTTTTTCCCAAAACGAATAATAAATCATGAAAAGTAGTGCTAATTCTTTTGAGATTTATTGGATTTTCATTTTATAATAAATTAAAGTGGAAAAGTTAATATTTTCCAAACTCATATCATCGCAATTCATTTGTTAGTTATCTAATAACACAACTTTGTGTTTGTTGGGTTAAAAAATATGGTGAAATCTTATTCGTTTTAAATTAAGTTACTTGAGTTTTTTTAAAGGACTCATACTATAAAGGAAAAACTATATAATTAGACATATTTCACTAATATATATTATTATTATTATTATTATCTATATTTTCAAAATATTACGTATTTTATCACTAATTAAGATTTTTTTGTCATATATTGAGGAAGATACACTTAGATCGATAAATATTTTTGCTGCCAGATACACTAAAATAGGAGGAGAGGCGAGCGAGATGAGGAGGAAGGCGAGTGATATTCATTATGTATCTCATATACATGTGAATCCAACTTAGATACATGTATATGTATGTCTCTAATGTGATTCACATGTATCTGGGATACCAGATCATAGGAAAGTGGCGAGCGAGATGGTAGAGAGGCGAGGGAGGCGAGCGAGATTTGGTATGTATCTCATGTACATGTGAACCCACTTGGATATAATGTATCTAGAACACATTACACCTAATTTTGACCACATGTATCTCGATCAAGATACACATATCTGGACATATCTGAACAAACCAAAATCTGATAGCATATGTAATATTGCAAACTCGAGTGTATCTAGTAAAATTTATGTAAGTTTCCCCATTTTAATAGTTTCACAAATATTAATAATTCTATGACATATACATAACTCGATCAATTGCTTTGTTTATTCTTAATTTGAAAAAGTTTTCCTTAATCCCTAAGCCAGATGCCAAAAGAAAATGATTACGACTACTACATTTTAGAATCTTACAAAAAAACATAATTATAGTCTCTTAGCTTTTTAATTTATGCTCCCTTATATAAGCAAATAAAGCAAATCAAAAAAAAAAAGAGGGAAAAAAAAAGGCAAAGGTGAAAATAACAATACTTTTACTTTTGATCTGTAAAAAAATAAAATTCATAAGGAAAGTATTTGAACAAAATTTGAATTTCAATGTAAAGAAGGAAATATTATTTTACCCTTTTTCTTTTATTCTCCAAAGTTTAGAAAAGGTGAAAATTATATGAGAAAAAATGTCGGTGACATAATAAAATTAAATTTATCTTTTTTGCTTTTTTCATGAATTTTTACTATCCTCAGATGCCAATGATTATCACAAAGACAAAGAGCATCTCACACAGCTCAACATAATAAGAAGAAAAAAAAATAAAAATTAAAAAGAATCTTAAATAAACAGCTTTAGAAGTGTTTGAATTTAGAGACAGCAAGCTAACATTTTCACTTATAATTTTTGGAATTCGAGTGATGAATATGGAGAAAATACTTATAGTTAGAAGGATTATTCGAGTCACATGCAATATGAATCTAGAGAATAAAATTTACAAACGCCATCTTTTAGCTTCTGTAACTAGAAAATAATCATTGACACAAAGTTTGATCAATAGAATTTGAAATTCCATGACAATGATATTTTTCAAATAAAGGCCCTAATCGAAAAGTGATCAATAGGCGTCATTTCAGATATTGAAATTTCAAACTTCATGATAGTGACTATTTTTCAAAAAAAACGAGTTGAAAAATGGCTAGTGGTAGTATTTCTACTGATCAATCTATATTAGTTGGGTCAGTATATTGCAGTTCCTAGAATTTGAAACTTATGATAATGATTATTATTTAATCACTACTAGAAAACATAGAATCAGAAACAAAATTTATTTATAATCCCCAATGAATTCATTACTAAATAATTCCTAGCTAACTAGATTTTCTTATAATTTGTCGTCAATCCATCGCTCAATAAAATTAGCATGAGATTTTTGTTATTTAGCTGTAATGTTTGTAAATTTTCCCCAAATATCATAGGCTTGTCATATAATAATAAAAAAAACTATGGTCACTCTTATTATTGAAATTCAATTGGTACAATATTAAAAGGTGAAACATGATATAGATTTTGAAATGATACAATAAAAGGTGAAACATGATAGAGTTCACTATGATAATGTCATTATGCCATTCTTGGAATACATCATCAAACACTAGCTAATTGTTCCCCAAAGTAAATATATAGGAGTATGATTCAATTCTCATTATTATTATTGTCTTTGTAAAAAGATACTACCTAGTTAGAAGCATAACATTTTTATTACTTTTTTTTTTTGTGAATTGTGATATGCTTGAATCATTGGCAAGAACAGTAATAATGGAGAGGGTCCACTTCCATAAGCTCACTAAACATTTCTAGCTAATAAAAAAAAAAGGAGATGATGATACAATATTGTTTGTATCTTTCAAATCATTCAATAATAATGATATCCACCATATTGTGGTGATATATCTAGTCTTTTTTTTCTCTCTTAAATCATATGTACATGCACTTAGGAGATGGATGACATATGGTTTTTACGGTTCAGTTGAACTCAATATTTTTAACAGGTATTTTAATAAATACTAAAATTTTAACTTGTAATTTTCAAAAGTGCTATGAATTCAATGATAAGAACATCAAACTCAAATCCATTGTTAGTTGAGATCGGTTATATGAATCAGAGACGAAGCTAGAATTTAAAATTTGTAATTTTAGATTTTAAAAAAAAAAGTTATTGGATTCTCGACAAATCATTTATACATATCAAGTTAACTTTTTATTACAAATGCAGGGCCTGCATATGCCAAAACTAATGAGTGTAGCTGAACCTATAATCGGAATGTTAACTCCATCCCTGATATAAATCCTCATTTATCATATTATTTCGTCCAAATTCATCTCAAATCAATATTATACGAAATAAAAAAATGCTAGTATTTTAAATATTTTTTAGTGACATATAAATCTTTCATGTTGCCATGGTATAAAAAGAAACTTGGATCAAAAGAAGAAAAGTAGCACTAAGGAATTGTATTGGAAGTTCTACTTACAAAACTTTAGTACATAAAAAAAGAGAGATATCACAACTCTTTGACCTACTATTTGAACATTAGAAGAAAACAAAAAAACAAAGAAATTAAGTAAATCACCTCATCAACATAATAATAAATCCTATACTACCATAGTTCTTGAATTTTGGAAAAAAATACATCTATCAACACTTTGAAGAAGTCCAATAGCATCATCACCATCATCACTTGATAAATCTTGATCATCAATAGAGAGATTCAAATCCAAAGAAACACAACTAGAACTTGTGCTAATTTTTTCTTCAATTTTTTGCTTCACATTAGGTGAACAACCTCTTGATGACTTAGAACCAAAATTGTCACAACTCAAAATAATAATAGCATCATCAAGACTAACTTCTTCACCACTTGAAGAATTAGTAATTGTTCCTCTTTCAATAGCCTTCTTGATTCCCCTTAGTGAACAATAATCAATTTCCTCCAAATCATCCAAGTAAAACACACAATGTGAATTACAAGCAACCCCTTGACCAAATTTATCAATGTAACTCCAACTTTGTTCATCTCTTGACCTTTTGTTACTAAAATTAGAACAAAAATTGCTTAGTCCAATTGATACGAAATTCGAGTATGATCCAAACACAACATTGGCTAATTCTCTAGCAATTTTCTCCTTGGCATGAACATCAGGGCCTTGAAAAAATAACCAAGTTTCTTGTTTTGCTTCATTGGTTAAATTTTTTTCTTTTCTTCTTATCATTTTGGACCTACATTGCAATATTGTTGCAACAATTTCTTGTATAACACTTCCTTTTTGCCATGGGACAATTTCTTCTAATGCATTGGATAAAATGTTCAAGTTTTCAGAATTGAATTCTTTAAACTTTGGAACATTGTAGTCCATCTCCATGATCACATCACTTGAATTAGAAGCAGAATTTGGTGTACTAGAATCTGTCTCACATGTTTTTCTATTGGCCCAAAATGGCAAATTGCATGTTGTGCTCCCCTTCTTGTGTAGATCTTTGACTGATGCATAGTCCTGAATTTGGGAAAAGAAAAAGTTAGTTTTCTTGAAAAAAGAGAAAGGAGAAACAAGAAAGAATTGCTTTAATATGTTGTTCGCACTCTCCTAAACTGTTGTCACATTTATATACACGGATCGTTTAAAAATACACTACTTTTAAAGGATTTGATATGCTTACATCGTCATTTTTTAAGAGTCCGAACAATATATGTTAAAAGCTAATAAAAAGATTGGAGAATTAACCTAAATAACCGTCCATCTAACTGATTAAACTAAAATAGCCGATAAATGTATAATATATGTATAACTCATATATAATATGTGTATGACCATGTATAAAGAGGGTATAATCTATAATTAAACAGTAAATCTCCCTCTATTTAAAAAAAATGTTTTTTTTTCTTTTTTGACAATTCTTTAATCTAAATATTCCACACGACATGTTTAAGACCATAAATTGAAGGATATTTTGGTACATTTTACATATCTTTAGTTTAAAACCACAAAATTCAGAAGTGTTCTTTACTTTCTTAAATTCCGTGTCAAGTTAAAACCAGACAAACAAACTGAAACTAAAACGGAGTGAGTAAAAGATTGGAAAATAACCTGATCATGATGATGATGGTTAGAAGTAGTATTGTACTTTTTGTGCCTCTCATCTTTAAGCCATGAAGGTAGATTTGACAATGTAGAGACACTATTACAACAGCTAGTCAATTGCAGCTTCTCCTCTCTACATGAGAATTCACCTTCAAATGTCTTACTTCTAACTTCAATTTGTGTATCACTGTTTAGACAATTCACAAATAAAAAATGAATTATATGAGTTGATACAAACATTGCTTAAAACATGCAAAAAAAAAAAAAACTAGCTTTTGATAAATACTTTATATTATATAAATAAATGTAATGAACTAAAGAGAGTATTGCTTTTTTTCTTTCTTTTTCTCTGTTTTACCACAAAACATTGAGTTGCTCACTTTATCAAAAGAATTCCAAGAAACTAACTTCCATTAGTCTTTCAATCTATGTTGTCTGAACTCTTCAAAATATCATCAGGTTCGTATCGAATCCTCCAAAAAGTAGTAAATATATTTTGAAGAATCTGGCACGAATTCACGACATTTTGAAGAATCTGAACAATATAGATTGAATGCAAGACATATATACATATAGAACAAACATGCTATAAAAATCAAAGAACATTTGAAAAAAAATACTTAACAATATTTCAAGTGAAATAATGGATTTCATTCACAAAACATAAATTTAAACTTTATACCCTAACACAACCCTTAATTTTGATTCTTTTTTTCAACTTCAACCAAAATATTATACAAACATCTAGTACAATTTCTTTCTTTTCAATATGCATGATATCAAAATCATGTCTGATAAGATTATCCTTCCAATAAGGTAACTCGAACAGTATTAAATTAAATTATTTACCTGTCAGGATTGAGACTGAGGCCCAAACTTCCACCAGGAACAGTAACAGGATGCAAACCCCAAATAGATTCCAATGAATTGTTACCACTTTTGCATCTCATATAACTTTGAAATGTTGCAATTCCCACAAGCCAAAATTTCTCATTTTCACTAAAACTATAAACCAATCTCCCAATTTCCATAATCATGTGTTCCACTGAACAATAATAGCTAATAATTCTTTTTTCCCCATAATTAGCTCTATAATCAGCCACCCATTTAAGATCACCTAAGTACAAAACAACTCCTTTTTTCACTAAACTCTTAATTAGACAAGTCAACTCTCCTAATCTTTGGTCAACTTCTTCTCTTTGAATATTACCAAAACTCAAAAGTTGTAAACTTATAAACTTAATTTCCTTCAAATCATCATGCACATCTTTAATCTCAACTTTATTCATCACCCCCTTAATCACACCTTCTAAATTATCAATACTTTCACTAACCAAAACAATATTTTTCCTATTTTTATTCATTAAACTTTTCACTACACTCATCACATCCTCATCTTTAACACAAATAGGATTAACTTTTTTGTTATGGTTAGTTATTTCTTTAGGGTTTTGAGAACAAAGTTCTAAAGAAACAACTTGTTCAACATTTGTTTTAACTTGAGTACTATCAAAACCAGCTTCCCTCATGACTCTACTAACACTAGGATCATCTAATATAGATATGATGAGTTGTTCAAGCTCTATCTTCACAGCTAGAAGTGGTTGTTGTTGATTTTCAAGCGAGCCCCTCCTTTGATGAGCTTGGGCTCGCTTGAAAGCAGCAACAAGCGCGTTAGAAATAGAAGGATATTGAGAATGATGATGATGATGTTGATGTTGATGACCTAATAACATGGGACTAGAAGAAGATGCTGGGAGACGATTGAGTGCCACGTTGAAGCAAAGCTCTAGGGCTTTACATTGGAGAGGATGAGAATGAGATTGAAGACAAGCTGTTTTGAATATACCATTTGATGATGAAAGCATGGTGTTTGCTACATGAAGAGGTGTTACTTGTGCATGGCCGCGACGTTTTGCTAGTGTAACAGCTTGTTTAATAACATTTGCTGCTTCTGTTGTTAGAGCTTGTTGTATTGTGCAACCTCCTGTTCTCATGTTTTTGTATGATGATGAGTTATTCACTTTAAAAGAAGGATGAAAGACCTAGCTAGGACAAAAAAAAATTGGTTTCATGTATACTAAGAGAAAATTTGTGTTGTGTTTGAGTAGAATATAATTGATCAAGAAAGAGATTCAAGAACTCAAGAAAACCCTAATAAGAAGCCTTTGGGAAGTTTAGGCTAAAAGATGAAATCTATTTTAGGATTGTATAAAGAGAGAGAAGAAGAAGAAGAACATAGTGGAACTAATATAAAGGGGGTGGGGGTTTTCTTATATGATGTGAATTTATGTTACAGTGTTTTGATTGAACATGAAATTTAAAAAAAAATAAAGGTACGTAAAAAGGATGGGTGTAGATTAAATCAGTTGTGTAGCTATAAATCATTATACTGAGAAATTAGATGAGGAGAAAATTATTTCTGAATAAAGAAGTATGGCATTCTTTTTTTTAGATAGAACAAAAAAAGTGACACATAAATTCGGACGGGAAAGATTTTTTTTTTCATTTTCTTTTAAAGAGGGAGTATTTTTGGGGTGGGGGTGTTCTTTTCTTGTAAGTGAGGCAAAAATTTTGGGGTTGAAAGGAAAATATGTAGTGGAAAGTGGAATGCATGTGGTGACCAGGAGGAGGAATTATATTGTACAAATATTAAAGGCAATTCAGCTTTACCTCTGATTTTTATTTAGTAGAATAAATATATGTATAGCAACAAATTAAATCTACTTTTAGGACTATATGGAATGTGGAAGTGGAACTCTACCTTTCATGCAATTATTATATATCAATCTTTTACCTATTTATAATTCATAAATAAAAGCTGATAATATATAGTACTATACTTATCGGATATATATCAACACATCTATTTTACTCCTGATATGGAGCAACAAAAGCTTAGTCTCTCATCGTACCTCAATAAATACTTATTTGCATAAGTATTTATATTAAATTAAAATAATTTACAGTAAGAAAATAACTTGATAGGATATATATATATATATATATATACATAACATGTATTGTAAATATTTGATGTGGATAAATTTTTACGATATTTTTTGACATGTATCTAGAGAAAAAGGTGTAAGAGGACTAAAATTGAAACTAGCTTAGACTAGACACAACTTTAACTTAAAAAGACGGAAATTCCTCCAAACCTCTCCCTTCTAAAAAGCAAAAAAACGAATATAACAATTTCAAAAAGAAAAATGCTTTACAAAATATATATCTATATGTTAACTTTTTGAAAAATATTAATTTCTATGTGTCACTCTGTTCCATTTAATTTTTATGTATATTATCATATAATATTTATAACCTATTTTAATTTATTTTAAAAAAAACTTTCTTAAACGGCATACATACCAAGTAAAAGCTGAATTGGTAGATATTTAGGTCTATATTATATTTATTTATTTATTTTTAATTAATGTATTAGCTATAGATATTTTTTGGGAAGGAATTGTAAGTGTGTCCATGCATAAATAAATTTTTAATTAGACATGTGTCCATGTAATAAGTAGCCAATTGCAATATTAATTGAAGCCTTTTTATTCCTCATCTTGAGTTCAACTTGTATAAAATTTTAATTATAAATCTATCTATTAAAAAATATTGTTGGTTAAGGCTCACTAATCCGAGTTTTGTATTTACGCAGAAAAGCCTTGTATTAAGGATAGAACGCTCCTAACAAAAATGATTTCATATTGAAAATGACTCAAATTCGAACCACTCCACACACTTAATTCAAATGTCTTCATATGAAACTTTTGATTTTACTTTCATCTTTCAGTAATTTGTTTATTTACTTATGTAATCTTTTTAGTAAAAAAATATCTAATCAAATACTTAGTCACATTCAGCACCCGCTATTTAACGAATAATTATTTATGAATCGTATATGTATCAAACTTTGATATAATTGGTCCAATAATGGATAAATTTGATATAATTGGTCCAATAATGGATAAGTTGTATTTAAAGGGTGTAGTTGAGAGATAAATACTTGCTCATCAAATTTTAATCAGAAATTTTGATTCGATCTAAGGGTACGAACAGTTTACTTCCGAACTAGATTTTTTCAACGTGAATTTAAATTAGTTGAATTGTAAATTGAGTACATCGGGTGAAACAAAAAAAAATAAGTAAGATTGTTGAGGTGATTTTCACTTTTATCTTGGACCATGCCATAAGTTAGTGGTTTTATTTTTTCAGCGTGAGATATATCATATAAAGTAGAGCTATATTCTACTTCGAATCCAACGCATATACCTTTGCTAAAACCAATAGATATCAACAAATTAATAAACTATAAGATAAAAAAAAATGTATATTACTATATAATATGTATTTCTTGTACACAATTAACGAGAGATCCTCCCATAAATCCCTAAATCAACTTATCTTTTCTGGTGAAATGCTTTTAGTAATCTCCAACCCTAAAGTACTAAAAATACTGAAATATATATATAGCTGCTTATTCAATCGCTTAAACTAAAATAGTACTATATATATTAATGTGTATAGTTCATATATAATAGGTGTATAATTATGTATATCTATTAGGACTAGTAAATAGTGATTTTTTCCGATTATTTGTGTGAAGATCCTGTTTTCTTTGGCTGGAGTGCAAGGATAGCCGATTGCAACACCACAATTTAAGTCATATCCACATTGTATACAAATTTGTAAGTTTATCCACTTCGAAATACTTTTAAAAGCCTAACTTAAAAAAAAAAAAAAAGGGGGGAAATTTCAAGTATACATATGACTAAAGTCAATTATTTTTGTCGAAACTTCAAGCGCATATGATTGAACTTCAGTTATTTTTGCTTAAACTTCATGAGTCATATAAGACTGAATTCAGTTATTGTTTGAAATTCAGTCACTTTTACATGATGAACATCATTAGAAATGTCTGAACTTCAATTATGTGGTATAACTTCAGACACGACATATATAACATTATTCAGCGGGAAAAAAAATAGTACATCTTAAATAGCGATATCCAAATAGGGTACCTAGAAATTTTGTTTACCTTTATTTTTTGTTTGAAAAATATAAACTCTCCCCAAGAAAAAAGGATTTGTTCTAGTTCTCTTTTTCCTTTTTTGTGGGCTTTTTGCTACATACCTTTTGAGAGACTTGTGGGATCTCAAGAAAACCCAAAGAATGTTTTGCGTATATATTGGGGTCCCTAGAAGAATGTTAGCATTTCAAATGACTTGACATAAATTGACCTTTATCATCAATATGGAATGTCTCCAAATTCCAACCACCTACACTTGTTCCTCTTTGTTTGAGCCTATCTTTACAAATGAGAGAATATTACTCCTCCTTTCCATTTATGTGATTAAAATCACAAAATTTTAAAGAATATCTGAATACTTTTAAATATATCTTCGTAAGATTAAAAAATATTCTTTACTTTCGATGTATATCTATCAGATCGTGATTGCATGTATCAGATATTTCAATATCGTTACATTTGATATTTTTATTTTGTTCCAACTATGTGATGAAAAAATAGATCCGAGAAAGAGACTTTCATTTCTAGTCTCTCTTCTCTTAACTCATCATAGTTTAGATCACCACAATCAACACTTATATATTTCTTCTATTTCAAAGTGTATCATGTAAAATCTACCTCCTTTGTTTCATTTTATTTAGTCTTTATATTTATTTTTTAAAATGTTTCATTTTACTTATCCATTTTAGCAAATTAAGAGAGGTTTATTACTTCTTCTTTTTTCATATTGTCCTTAGTACTATTAAATAACTACATAAAAGTAACAATAGTAGTCAAATTTAGAGTTCCAAAGCATCATTAATAAAATTAGTTTCGTACAATACACTAAGTAAAATTTTCTTAGTAAAAGATATGTCAGATCAACAGAGGTCAAGTAATATAATATAGGGGACTACTCCGAAAAAGAGAAAAAGTATTAAAGCAAAAAAGCCTGGCAATCTTCATGACTTCTAATTTCATGCAAGTATATATATAGTATGCATGAAAGCCATTTTTTTCTCTTCATTTTTATTTTTTTGGTGAAGAGTACCATTGATGGAAAGTAAAAGTATAATAAAACAGAAACTTTACTAGATAGTGTATAGTAAATTAAATGGTCCAAAAGCTGAAAGAAAAATTTATCTTCTTTCAAGAGGATCAACATATAAATTTACCATATTTCATATATAGTCAAAGAAGCTTTATAATCTTCCCCCTCTCTTTGGTGGCCTAAAAAGACATACAAAGGTTGTTTGAATGAAAAAAGTAATAAAGAGAGTATAGTAGTACTCTTGCTGGAAGTTAAAAAAGGAATGTTTGAATGAAAGTAAGTTACTTTTTTTAAAAATTAAATATCACCCTTACATAGATGTACTATAAGATATTAAGATTCATCTCTCAATTATATAGATAATAAAGTCACCTTAACAACATGTTGGTAGTTTTGTGCTAAAATGAACCCAAATATACTCTTAATACATATAATGTGATATTATTCATTTTAATTTAAGTCTACGTGTATGAGTTTTTTCAAAGTCTCAGATCACTAACATTATTTTTCTTTTCGATTATTAATATGAGACTTTATTCGCTTCTTTGAGTTGGGCCCACTTGGAGATCTGTTTGGCCAAAGATAGCTAGGGACCTTACCTTTTCTTTTTTTTTGTTCTTTATTATTCATCCGTTTCTATTTATATGTCACTATTTTAGATTTTACGTCTTTTAAGAAATTATGTAAGTTTACCATTGACCCTTATTTAGTATTCTCTTGAAGTCAAGTTCAACAAATGAACATAAAATAATTAATTTTGATTAATTAAATTGACCAATGACAATGAATTAATCATTTAGTTTTCCTATGTTGGTCAAATTCATACTTTCGAGGCTAATAACTCTCAAGGGTAAAATAGAAAGAATAGTGTCATTTATGCATTGATTTTGTGAATTGACAAATATTAAGGACCATCCAATTTTAATAAGAATGATATATAAATAGGAACGAAAGGATTAATTATTTTCTATATTTAAGGTCATAATCTTCCGTTCAAATTGTAATTGGTTTTAAGAGATCATTTCTTTTCGTTAGACTCAAAACATTAGCACTAATTAAGAAATTGGGTAAATGAAAATGAAACGTTTAGTATCATGTATTCAACAAAAAATATCAAATAAAAATAATCAGAGATATCTTTCATAAAACTACTTCAATAAATTAATATTCTCTCTAAAGGTAATTCAATTAACTTTCAATTATCCTACAAAATTACTTTTCTAAATTGCTTTTAGAAGTATATATATATGTATAGAAAAACGTATGTAGACACGCTTTTATTTGTGAATTTATAAATTGCTTTTGAACCACATGGCCAAGACGCGTAGTGAAGCTCAAAAGTACAAAATAAGGAGCCCTTTTGAATAATTAGTATATAAAAAAATCAGACAGATCGATGCATAAAATATTTTGCGTTCATAAAGGGTTTAGGAAAAGACCACACTATAAAAGGTGTCATACAGTCAGTCTATCCTAATACAAGCTCTAATTGCTGCTTCCACAACTTGAAGTTGTGATCTATATACCACACGAAGATAACTTTATTGTTGATCCAATTTTATTATTTTTAATTATATACATGCTTTTATCTTAGAGAACTTTAATTGAACAAAAAGAAAAAAGAATCCAGAACTACTTCTAATAATTACTATTTGGTACTTCAGTAAGAAGATTTCTCTTTAAAAAAGTTGTTACTTTGTGATTTGTTCTTCTTGAAAAAAATTGAATATTGGTACTTTAGGGTTGAAATTAATTAAAGGAGATTTATAATTAATGAACAGTCTAAATAAATAGTGATAAAGTGTAAACACGAATCGAGCCAGATTTTGAACTTTATGAGATCTAAAATCTAAAATAGTGATATTAATATTAGTATTGGGGATTTTAATTCAACTTTTGAACTAAACTTACTGATACGACTAAATTCGTAGTAACCTTCTAGCTTTATATATGTGTGCATATGTGAATTAAACTTGTATATGCACTGATAATGTAAATAAAAGATTATTAATTATCTTTTTTTCTTAATTCTACACATTAAGAATAGTTACACTATTTATAATTACCTTTTAAGACATTGCCATTTTGGTAGTAAATTGAAGTTAAAAAGGGATATATGGTGGGAAAGAGGGAAAAGTTGCTTCAATTTTGGCATGGCAGCCTTCTTATATAACGTTAATGTTTTTTATTTTATTTTTTTCACTCGGTGTTTGGAGACCATATTGAAGCCCTGATTAAATCTGAATTGCGTATTGCAGAGTCCATTTGGAGGTGGCGCTCCCAATATGATTATCTTTATACTCAGGGCTCAAACCTAATACCTCTAGTTAAGGGTGAAGCAGTCCCACCACTGCATTACAACTCATGTTGATATAAATCGTTAAAGTTGGTGATGGTAATTACGTATATTTTATGCTGTTTTTTTTTTTCAAAAAAGAAAAAAAAAGAGTATGATTATTTTAATTTTTCTAGAATTTTAATTATTTAAACATCGAACTCTACTAACTCTTTCTATGAACTCCACAAATCATCATAAATTGAAATTCCAAAAAAAAAAAAAAACTTTGAAAAAAAATACAATTGAACCTATACGTATTTTCTCTCTTTTTCATATAGAGCAATACAATAGAAATTCTTAATACAACAACTACGCAATACAATGTATCCTTTTCTTAAAAAATCTAATAAAAACTAAACTACCTTAGTGTAAGGTAAAAATTAATTGAAACCATCAAGGTCCATAAAATTTTGATTTCACCAATTAAACTAAAACAATATGTATGCTGATGAAGCTTCCTAAATGTGCTTATTTTAAAAAGTATTTTCAATAAAAAATACTTTTCGAACCAACATCTATTGTGGTGGGATAGTTGGGATCCTTCTTTCTAAATCAAAGGTCTCGGGCTCGAACCCTTAGTATGAAAAAAACGATTAGGATCCTTCTACCTTAATCAGATATCTCGAGTTTATGTCCTTGATATGAAAAAAAAAAACCTACATGGAGCATCCCTAAAATAGGCCCTTCAACACTCGAATTCGAGTATCAGACAATAGAGAATAGTGATTTGTGTTTGGCTAATCGAAAGATAAATTTGGGTACTCAAAAAAGTAAAGGATCAAAATCCAAAAAATTTGACAAATCAACCTCCTTTGTAACACCAACTCCTCCATTCACATCCACTAAACTCTCCAAATAACTATAACCTTGAAATGGTGCACGTAGTTCATGATTTTCAATAATCTCAAAATCACCTTTAATAACATCATACAAATATAAATTAGTCTCACCTTTAGTATAAACATAATCTCCATTTTCATCATAACACATTTCTTTCCTCTCTTGTGCAACCATTGCCTTAGAATTTTCCCAAAATCCACTTTCTAATAAAAACCCTTGAATTGGTTCAACTTTAAACCTTTTACTCCAACTCTTTATTTTATCATCTAACACCCATAAATCAAATCCATTATTCATCCATATATCAACTTTTTCAAGATTTGTTGAATAAATCAAAGCCAATGTTTCATTTAAATTAAAAAGTCTTAGGGTTATTGCTTCCCTTAGGTCAACCACAATACCATGATGTTCAATTGGTGGCAAAATAAACTTCAATTCCTCACTATTCATTTCTAAAGAAACAACAACACTACACATTTCTTCATTTCTAACTTCAACACCAACCCAATAAGCTACACCTTTTACTACGATCATTCCGGGAGCCATTGGCTTCCAGAATGGTCGTATAACTAGTAAAACACGTCCATCACTCGTTATTTTTCTCCAAGAATTCGTACTCAACGTGTAAATTTCAACCTCATACTTCCTCCTAGACGTAGCAACGTTTAGAAGTCTAACGATCATGTAATCGTTGTTTCTAGGGTTATGACCAAACCCTAAATCCGTTACAGTGAGTTTACCTAGGGTTGAGACATATGGAGATTTTGGAACTGGTTTGAATTTTTTAATAGCTGGATTCCATATAACAATCGCGATACCATTATGATTATTCAGATTCAGACATACTAAACCGTTGGCTGACCCAACGATTCTTGTTTTTTCAGATGTCATGCCAAATGGCACGTGGAAATGAAGAGGAGGTGTAATGACATCGCGATGTATAGTTAGGGAATTAATTAAACGTAACGTTACTTCAAGAGTTTTATGATGACGACCCATAATTAGGATATGTGGTGGTGTTTCTTGAGTAATTTTCGCGTAATGTTTGTAGATAAAATTAGGGTTCTTGATTAAAGAACAAAAGGGTTTTGATACAGATTTGAATCGTGACAATGACTTTACTGGAAGCCTTAAGAGAATTTCGATGACAATGTCCCCTGGAAGAAGGGAACAAAACATTGTTTCTTGACCAAATTGGTCTGAATTCATGATTATGATTAAGAGAAAAAGGAAAAAAATTGGTTTTGGAAACTAAATTGATCATTTGTAATTGTAATAATGTGAGAAAAATGAAAAGAGATGTGTTTATTATGTTGAAAATGTTTAAGTAGGGTGTAAATGTGCATTGACCTTTGATGATTTGTTTGGTTTATGTTGAATTTTTGAATTTTTGAAGTTGTGGGGTATACTATAATCTAAAATCCAATTAATTAGGATGTTAATATCTATTTGACCTTTAATCATTCTTTGGTTAATGTTTTGTTGACATTTATAGGGCATTCAACAATCTTAGGAAAATTTCTGATTTTTTGCATCGTTCATCCTATTTAGTGGTTTAATATTTAGCATAAAAGTTTAAAAAGTTGTTGAGATTATCTAGTGACTAATACAGGATCAGAAGATAAAGGAGATTTTGAGGCTGAGATTAGGGAAGATAATTAGGATTAAGAGAATTTAGAATAGCAGTTTTCATCCCCACCCCATGAAACAAATGCACACAACACATCAGTACCACCCCTTTTAGAAATAGTGTTTTGGATACATGTATCTGTCGGAATAATTGTGTCAATTTTTCTAGGAAAAATTATCTTGCTACACAAACATTCCTACCACATTTGTTAATTCTTCGTATTAGATAATAACATATTTTCTCACTAATTATTAATCATTTCATACCAGATTTCTAGTCAGTGGTGACTCCAGAATTTTTTAGTTATGGGTGCTTAACTATTTCTAATTTGAAGTTGGTACTAAAACTGGGTGCCCAATTTACATATGTATACAAATACTAGGTTTCCTTTTTTAAATAATAGTGTTGGCTCCAAAATGTAATGGGTGTTCAAGCACCCATACACTAGAATGTGCATCCGCCACTGAGTCAGATACACCTAGATACATGTGTTTTTGCTATCAGATTCATTCTAACTCTAAGAATACAGATACATAGAGAGAGAGAGGCGAGCAAGATAAGAGGTAGGTGAGAGAGATAGGAGAGAGATGATCAAGAGAGTCGGTCTATCTCAGATACATGAGAAATCACTTGGATACAATGTATCCAGAACAAATTATACCTACTTTTGACCTTATATATCCAAAATACATATATCTACACGTGCCGGATACATGTATCTAGGGATTGAAATCTGACATAAATGGTGATTTTGAAAACACACGGAAAAATCATAATTAAACCCTAAACTAATGCAATTTGTGTTATTTGCCCATTTTCCTAGTTTTATTTGGTAAATTGGTTTCACCAAAAGGCCCAATTTCCAAGCCCATAACAGATCCAACAAGAACGTTTATAGGATTTGTTAATGGGCCACCACTTTTTCCTTCCTTCTATTGGTCAGTTAGCCTTAATTATAATTATGTTCGCTAGCTAAATATATATTAATTGTATACTTATCATATATTAAAAAAATTATATATATTAATATACGTATGTTATATTATAAATCCCTGTTTTTAATTCATAGCTTTGGCCTAATTATAGTCTAATAGGCCATGTCTATTTTGAATATACGAAGCATGTTATTTCACTTTTTAGTTTCCAGAAATTGGCTTCTAATGACTTAAACTTCGTAATTAATCAGTCGTTAAATTATTCGTTTCTAAAAAAAAAATTATAATTCGTTACTAATTCATTGTTAAATATGATTAATGATAAATTTTAATTTACTGTTTAACTTTTCATCTATAATTTATATTTATTTTGTAGGAAATAACTTATTGTATCAAATAATATTGAGAATTTTCATTTTGTTAAAATAAGTGTAACAAAAAAATAATGATAATTCATTTAGAAATTAGAATATAATTTATTTTCTATTATATCATCTTTATTATTTATTACTTAAAAATAAAATCGAGCAAAGAGAAGATATTTGGACCCCATCTTGCACAGTCCTTATATATTCACTATTTTCTAATTAATAAAGAAAAATAAGTTTGATTTCAGATAATTTTGACAAAGACTGACAAGATTACCCCCCTTAACCAATATTTGCTTTAGAGTTGTAATTAATTCGATTGCGTCACGTAATGCTCAGAGACAAGTTATTCCATTATCAAATTTTTCATTCACAGTGATCAAATTCGAGACTTGACTTATTCTTAATGGTACACGATATTCTTATAGATCTTAGTATTAGAGGTTTTTCCTTTATATATATAAAATAACCATTTAAAATCTGATTAATCTAGATTTGCATCGTGTATGTATCAACGGAAAAAAAATCCAGCAGAGAACCTACATGTTCTAATAGGAACATGTGCTTAGTTTTAGAAAGAAAACAGATTTTCTATATAAAAAAAAGAAAAAAGAATGACAGTTGTGAAACTTAATTAGTACTTATAATGCTTCTCTAATAGGGTAATTAACTAGTAATGCTATCCAAGTAGTGTAACAACTAACAACTAAGCAGATTTAGTAAATAAATTGAAGAATCTCTACAAATATTTGGGTACTCTTCTAATAACTTGTGAACTGGATTGGGTGGCACTAATTAGTCATTTTCTTAGATATTGAGTATCGTATAAGATCTGATTTAACAACATAAACAATTTATGGCTACACTAAAATATTGTTCACAAGAATTTTTATATAGATATATCCAATTTAAAATGGATTTTGTTGTTATATTATAAGCACTTAGGAATCTTGTCTAACAATAATAACATATCCAATATAATTCAACTAGCAGTGATCGATGTATTCGATCAACAAGCTATGGGTTCATTTGAACCATAGGCTTTGGCTTAAGCTAGTTATATGTGCTAGAAATATTGCTAAATATGTATATGTGCTAGTTTCTGAATCCAATAATAAATATGGTGAAGTCATGAAGATGGTAGAATTACAAATCTAAATTCATAAATGTTTAAATCTTACATCCACCTTTGTCTGCAAGTAAGGTCTGAGGTGAGTGTTATGTATGTACGTCTATCCTACCTTGTTAAAGTAGATTGATTATTTTAAATGGATATTCGATCCAAATAACCATAACAAAATTAGTATGAACAGAAAATATAATAATTAAAAAATTATATTGAGAATAAATTTTTTTTAAAAAAACAGTAACAACATATAATATAATAATCAGAGCAAAGGAAATAATATGTTGAATTTGTAAGTTGCTTAAACTTTTTTTTTCTATTTTAGACCAAAAGATGGTAGCATTATATTTGTTCATGAATACCGATACAGGATTTATTATTTTTATTATTATTTTTTGCTTATATTACCTAGTTTTTTCCTTGTGAGGGTCACGGAAGTAGCAGAAAAGATCAATTGAAAGTGATACTTGAGATTTTTTCTAATCTAATTTAATTTGTTTATTTAGTCATACTTAGATTATTTTTATATCTTTTAAAGAACTAATTCTTATAAAATGACACACAAAATCATGTCCACATGTTTTCTCGATTAGTTGAGTTTTCTTGATTTTTAGTTGATCGCTATATGAGGTTAAATGTTAAAATAGAAAGGAATCAATATTTTTTTCGTATCAATTTATGTTGCACCTTTTATTTGACATTCTTTTGAAGCAAAATAAAAAGAAAAATGTCACATCAATTAGAACGATGATCATTAATGTTGACACTATTGATACATACGAATTTGACTAAACTCAATATTCATTTTGCAAATTCAATCACTAATGTAAATATTAGTACTCCTTCCGTTTCACAAAGAATGACCTGGTTTGACTTGGCACGGAGTTTAAGTAAATAAAGAAGACTTTTGAATCTTGTGGTCCTAAATTAAAGTCATGTCAAATGTATAAAATTGCCCTTAATCTTGTGGTCTTAAACATGCCACGTGGAAAGCAAAAAGTAAAATGTTACCAAAAAAGGAAATAGGTAATTCTTTTTGAAACTGACTAAAAAGGAAAGGAGGTCATTCTTTGTGAAACGGAGGGAGTATAA